GCCCTGGGAATGCATGAGTGTGGTTTGCAAAGGGTTAAGGGAAACAGGCTCCGCCATAACTCTTAATCATAGCTTTGCAAGCTTAGCCAGTGCCCCTGTTGAAAAATGTTTCAAAAAGCAAAATAAATGATCTTTTAGTTACAGAAGTATTGATTTTGCCCACATCTAGTAATAAAGAGCAAGTCACCTGTAGCTAAAACTCTTGTAAAATATATTTTATACTCTAATAGTCTGCAGATAGAGTCACCCGCTGAGCACAGATGACAAATCTCCCCAGCGCGGCCTGCGCCCCCCATATTTCACGTCAGGGACGCAGTGGTGGCTCAGGCAGCGACAGAGCTGGGCCTCCCCGCGGGTGAAGACGTGGCCTGGTTGGCCAGAAGAAAAGAAAAAAGCCAGATTCCTGGAACACAGTCCATCCCCCTACCCCCACCCTGGACCCTCCAATGCCAACCTGGGTTATGGTGGAGACTCAACTACCCTGTAGACAGAGCACCCCTCAGAAGGAGGCTCTTAGAACAGGGTAATGTCTCTCCCCACCACTCAGCTTCAGAGGCTAGTTTGGGAATGCTGAAGCTGAATTTAAGAGAAGAGTGAACAAGGGGGTGGGGGTTCCTGGTTTGAGGGTCAGTTACCCTAGGTGTGCACAGGCTTGTTCACACGTGTGCCAGAGTTTGGACTCTCCCAGGCCTCCATGTACATACAAAGGGACAAATATGACCCCCAATGTACACATGCACAGGGTGAAGCCCACACACACTCAGAGGGAAACATTGAACCCCCCCCCCATTGTATGCATATACACACATACCACACTTGACCTTATGCACACTCATATACTCAATAGCACCCCTAGCACTTATCCAGTCCCTTCACACAGACTGGCCTGCCGTTTAAAGAACCAGGCCACATCCACTGTACCCAGAGACTTCTTTTCTAGAAATAAGCTTCTGTCTGAAAGTACCAAATAGTCACTCTGGTGTGGGGACTGGAATGCATACCACTTTTCTCCCTCATATTGAATGCACAGATATAGCTCCAAATTGACCCATCACACATTTACATTTCCCCACCCCTCACTGCAGGTGGGAAGGGAGCTTAGTAGGAATATCCAGGTCTCTTGGCATCCTCTACATCCCAGAGGGGTGTAGACAAAACTGAAGCCCAGGCCTGGGAGGCCACACAGGTGTCAGTCCCTCCTTTGTCTTGACCCCGCTGTGTGGCCCTGAGGAAATCCCTGAATTCCTCTGTGCTTTTGTCTGCACCAGGCCCATCATAGTCCCTTGGCATCCTAGCCTCTTGCCAAAGAAGTCCCTAGTCAGGGCAACCTTGGAGATGCCAGGATGACCTTCCACCTTCTTTTTCTCTGTCCCTTCTAGCAGGCCCTCTGTCATAAACTCTACTTTGAAGAATCTGCTCCACTGGGTAAGTAGTGGGGTAGGATGCCACTCCAGCCCACCCCACAAAGCCTATGGGAGGGGGGCAAAGTTGTCCCTAGAAGAAAAGCAGTATGCTTAAAAGCACGGAGAACACGCCCATCAGCCGGGAATAAATAGGGGTTTCCCATCCGCTGGTAGGAGGGCAGGTGGAGGAGAGGGGAGAGGAGTAAGAGCAGAGTGGGAGACCCGCTGGGTGTAAAGAAGTTTCTGAGAAGGTGAGCAGATAGGTCAGGTAATATGGAGAGGAGAAGGTCTAGAGCTGGGGCGGGGTGGGGGTGGGGTTCCAAGAGCGGGATGGGTGTGAGCGGGATGGAGCAGGTAGCAGCTTGAGCTCAGGGAGGAAGGAATATGCAGGCAACTAACTGGGTGTGTGTGGGGTGTCACTTTTGGGTGGTCGAAGGGAGCCAAGAGTACGCGGGGGCATCTTTGAATGGAGGGGCAGTAGTCTGCCAGAAGATGGGGCAGAGCAGGTAGCTGCCCTGCGCTGGGATTGGGGGTGGGGGTGAGGGGGTGGGGAAGGCTCTTTAAGCGGCGGCCGCGCTAATAACCTGTCCAGGAGATGGCTCGTGGCAAATTGCTTTGTTAGTCTTGTCAGCGCGGCCGGGGCCGCCGTCAGCGCGCGCCATGGATCAAGATGATGAATCGCTGCGGACGGCGCAGATGCGGGCGGCCCGCGGCCAGGCCCCAGGGTAGGGGTGGGCGGCAGAGGGGGCCGCAGGGGGCCGGCCGCTGCCATTAACTCCCGAATTAGCTCTAAGCTGCCCACCACTGCTTAGAGAGCGCCAGCCATCCGGGCGCAAGCGGTCAAGGATGGGGAGAGACCCTCGCCCCCATACTGAGCCTGGACCCAGGGTCCCAACTCCAGGCTCCTCTGGACGCAGAGGAGAGTGGGATGCCCAAGAAAGGCGCAGGAGGGACCCGGTCTCTAGTCCTTTTCGAACTTTGTGCACCTGGCTCTTCTTCGTGAGAGTATCCCACGAAGTGGGGGATGGGGGTAGGAGGAGGACGCCTGGAGAATGGCCCCACGTAGACGTTCTCTTAGGGACACAACCCCTGCCCTGTGAGCGCTAGGGAGGCTCAGAGTTAGAGAGAGGTGTGTGTGTGAGTGTGTGTGGGGGGAGACACACACACACACACATCACACACACATACACACTGTGTGTGTATCTGTGTGTTGTGAGTGGGTAGGGGATTTGGGGATTTGGGTTTGGCATTGCTACTTTAAACCTAGCTCAGAGAGACCAGACATGGTGGGGCTGGGACTTGCTCTGGGACTACAGGGGACTTGGGCCCTCACTTCCCAGATCTTTCAAGGAAGTGAGCTGGGAACCCAGTGTCCTTGGAGTTGGTAGGTTAGCTGGCACCTGTGATCACTTCGTTTTCCTAAGTTCTTAAATTAACTCATCTCTTTCCCCCTCTACTCTTGATCCTGGTTTGGAAACATCTCCCTACCCAAGCACACATAAACATACACACACCTAGGAATTTATAAATAAAATCCACATAAGCACAGGCTCTGTTCACATGTGCATATATTTAAATGCATACAGGACTCATTCCCCATCCTACTCTCTTTTCTTCCTAGACTTTCCATTCCAGCAATTGAGCTTGCCAGGGATTTTTGTGTCCACTCCCACTGGCCTAGGAATCTACAATCAACCCAAAATCTAGGCCCCTGGGCTGAAATGTCTGTGGAAGTTAGTAGGGATGGAATGTGAGTGTATGACAACATCTCTCTGTCCATGATATCCCCCCAGTGTCCTGTGTGTCCCTTCAAAGATGGGTCAGGCCTGGTAGTGTGGGCTTCTCCAGGTGTTTAGGAATCTGAATCTTTATGATGTATATAATGAGGATCAGAGCATAATGGCCACCCAGCCATCACCTCCAGTCCTAGGATAGCTAGCGCTAATGGGAGCCTTGGCAGGCTGAGATAAGAGGCAAGCAAGGGTTTCCTCAACTGGTCTCAGAGCCTATGTGGCAGACTAGTTCCTTCCAAGAACAGGTGCCTAGTTGGACCTTAAGCCTCCCTACCTGGGAGAATCTGTGCTATCTGCAGCTACCCTGGCCTCCAGTTTGGGCAGGTCTGGCCCACCCAGTCCCAGGAATCATCATCCTTCAGAACTAGGGAAGGATGCCCTGGAGATGGGTCTCTGGGCAAAGAAAGGTGATGCTTGCTTCTGCTGAAAGAGGGGTCACAGTAGGAGCATGATTCCTCTTGAGGGCAGCCCTGGGCCCCCCTCTCAGCAAACCTTCCTGTCACTACCAAATAGGAATGGTCAGGACTACACCTATGCTACTGTGGAAAGGACTTTAGGGTCCCCCCTATGCCCACATATGTGCATGTGATCCAATGTGTGTGTAGAGGGCTAGTTTTCCAGAATGTTCTGTGTGTGTGCTTGTGTGTGGAGGGCAGCTGAGTTGGAGGTGCAGTGTCCCTTCCCATCATATCCCCAGCTGTGGAGTTCCAGTGACAGTCTTGATCATCTAAGCTAAACAGGCAGGCTCCCCTCTCCTCTTCTCTCCCCTCCTGTCCTCTCTCCTCCCCTCCCCTCCCCTCCCTACCCCTCCTGCACAAGGCCAGGATCCCTGAAGAGAAATTAAAAGGTTATTTAAAGCCCCCGCCTCCGCCTTTCTTGTCCCTTTAAATCGAGCCTAAACGGTTTTGCTTTGGCAGAAGAAATCTTTTCTGGAGCTTTGGGGTGGGGGTGGGGGATCCTGGTGGGAGAGAAGGGTCTAAGCAGCCTAATCCTCTTATCGCCCCCTCCTCTTCCCTCCCCTCTTTTTGAGGCCCCCTCCCGCTCTCTGCCTGAGGCACCCAGCCCCTAACTAGCTGAAGATCGACCCCCACCCTCAGATCTGCTGGTGGCCCCTTCTGCCCTACCCAGGCCAAAATTCCTGACCCCCTCTACCTAGCCTAGGACTTGAAAGTCTACTGGCAGTATGGCCAGCCAACACCCCCCTCCTCTCCATGCCGATTCCCCAAGGAAACAGCTCAGCTCCCAGGAGTTTTGCTTTTAGGCCAGAGGGGTGCTAGAACCAGGGATCAGCTGTCCTAGTCCCAAGTGTGAGACTTTATGCCCACTTTGTGCTCAGCCCCCTGGATTATAACTAGATTTGGGCTGAAAATTGCATAAAGATTCGTTAAAAACACACAAAAGAAATCCCACAGTTACACAGAGCCTCTGGAGCATCATTCACAAGGATACAAGCCACATGTAAATCATAGTCACAATTAATTATCAAGGCCAAAGGCAGGTTGCACAGAGTCCTAGTGCAGGGATGCACATCTCACACCCACACACTCCACACTCATTTGGCCAAGAGCCTCTCAGACCCCCACACATTCGCATACACAGGGACTCCCAGACTCCACACCCTTTGGCAGTGTGAGTGCAAACCTGCCCTCTTGGACACACCTCACACACCTTTTGCAAGGCTGGGTTTGGCCAGGCTGCAGAGCAGGCTCCAGAACGTCCTCTTCCTGTGAACCGGTTGCACCTGGAGGGATCAGGGCGCTGACAGGAACCGGAGAACCCCAGCCCGGGATTTTTCCCTTGTGGGCCACTCCTGTCTGTCTCCCTCCGACAGGTGAGTGTACTGTATGAGAGTCCGAGTAACAAGCCTCTAGCCTCTCAGCCCCTTCGAAGGGCATCGTGCTGCCCGACAGGTGAACGGCTGCTAGGAGCGCCACCCTATCTGGACCAAATGTGGACGGTGAGTTCAGTGTGCGGGTTGTAGGGTGGGATGGTGGCGCTGGAGGCGACTGCGTTGCGGTGGGGTGGTGTGTGTGTGTGTGTGTGTGTGTGTGTGTGTGTGTGTGTGTGTGTGTGTATAGGCGCGCGCGCGCGCGCGCAGCTTTGAACCAACCTTGAAGTGACAGTGGGGGTGGGAGTTACCCAGGGCGACCCCAAGGCTACCGCAACACACTCCTGGGGTCAGGCTCAGGGGGAGACTCGAGAGGGTGAGGTTTCCCAGGACCTGTTCTAGCCCCAGGGATCGATTTGCAGCTTCTGCAGGCTGGAAAGAGGTAAAGATCCCGGGACCGCGAGCCAGGTACCGTGCGGGCGGTGATGGACTTGCGGCCAGACCCACACATCCACCGAAGGTGGAACTACAGCCACCTAGGCCAAGAGCTGCGCAGCAGCACCGGCGGGGCGGGGCGGGGCGGGGGTGGGAGAGGCGTGTGATTGGCAGTCACCGAGGCCATTAGGAAACGCGCGGGCCCGCTCCGGGCGCCCGGGAAACGCCGTTTAAAACTCCGGTCCTGGCCGCCGCGCGCGTAGATGGCAGCGGCGGCAGTGGTGCGGGCCGGGGAAACCAGGTGCGAGCGGGCGGGGCTGGCACGGAGGAGCCGGGAGGGGCGTGGGGACGGCCTCCAGCGGGAAGGACGCAGACCTTGAGCTCCGGGGACCGCCTCCCCTCTTACGGTCCTGCAGTCCCAGACTCATTGGGAGGATCGGAAAGTTTGTAGGGGACCGAGACTTGGGGACCGAGACTTGGAGACAGACACCGCAGGGACAAGAGGAAGTGGAAGGGCAGACAGAAAGATAATCTGGGAGAGACAGGGAGATACAAAGGGGGAGACAGAGTGAGTGACACCCAAGGCTGATAACCGAGTCAGAGAGCTAGCAGCCCCGGGAGACAGAAAAAGCTGGAAATTCCTAGGCAGAAAGAGAGGAGAGCGAGCCCTGGGCAGAAAAGCGCTGAGGCGGAGACGGAAGCCTCGGCCCGCGGAGACGCAGGCACCCGCAGAGAACGCTTCGGATCCGTCACGGTTTTGCCTCATTTGGAAGATATTACTTCGCCCCTGGAAAAAAAAATAAATACAAAAAAGGTTTGGATATTAAACGGAGACAAATCCTTCTCAGTTTGGAAGGGGCGGCGGCGAGGAGGGGGTGGCTAGGGTAATGCGGAGCAGATGCGGCCCGGGGCGTCGCAGAGCCCGGGGCCGGAGCTGGGGAGGGGGCGAGGCCCGCAGCCCAGGTCCTCGCCGGGGGAGCACAGGGACCGCCCACGCCTCCCCAGTTTCGCTGCCTTCGCGGACCATGCGGTGCCTCGGGCATTGCGGGTGATCCAGCTCTGGTCTAGCCCGCGCGGATCCCGCTCAAACTCGGCTGCCGCCAAGGGTGTCTTCTTTCCCCCGATTGCGATTCTGCAAGAATCATCCAGTTGGGGTGGTTCGTCGTACAGATAGCCTCTGGCCTCTTAGATGCGGCCTCGGGCCAGGGTCCTCCAGGTGGGTGTTTAGGGCACAGAGGCCTGAGTTCCTTGGAATTCGTTTTGCCTCCCGCGGCCTCAGCTGGAGTGGGTCGGGCGAGCTCCAGCGGGAAACGCAGGCTGGGGCCAGCGGCTCTCGTGGTGTTTGGGGGCAGGGAGTATAGGGTTGGGGGTGCTGCCAGGGTCTTTCCTTTCTAGGCCTCTCACCGGGTGGCCATAACCCAGTCCTGGACGGCGAAGGGCAAGGGGTCCTAAAGGGCTGTCCCGGTCCTGGGCTTCCCTGGCTGAACTTTCTGGCTGGTCACTAGCACCCAGGCCCTGCGTAGGAGCCGCGGCGGTTCAGGCGGTGCATTCAGGAGGCTTGAGAGAAACTTCCCCTCCGCCAAATTCTCACCGAATCTGGGGCCCCAACTTCTCCTGAATTCTGGCGCAACTCCCGGTTTGGGGGCTTGTGATTTGTCGGAGAAGGTAGTACCAGATTGGGGCGGGGATAATTCGGGATCCGCGGCCTTTTCGCATTCTATCGGAGTTTGGAATCCCTCAAGGCCCGGAACCCGTGGGGTCTTGAGCGCAGGCTCAGCCCAAGTTCTGTCTGGGGCCCAGGAAGGTCCTTTTCGTTTTAGAGGACGACGGAAGTCCTGGGTCTGCCAGTCGATGCTGGTTTTTCTGGAAGCTGTTGGGGTTTGGGGACGTCGGGAAACCGGAGGGCTTTAGTGATTTAATGGCCCTGGGGGGAAAGAGGCTCTTCATTACGCTAAGGTTGTATGCGTCGAAGCCGCAGACCTTGGGCAAGTTCCCATTTGCCGTCGCAAGTGCGGGTGTGAGTGGTGGTGATGCAGGCGAGGGTCCTTTTCCTTTACTAGTGTTCCGGATCTTGTGCGCTGCAGACGGGTTGGCTGGGCCAGGCGACGTTTTAGGAAGTTCTGTGACCTATTCGTTTTAGGTGGGATGAAATAGGGGTTGTTTTCGATTTTGCGCGGATTCTCGTTTCACTTCTGTGCATCTCCCAGGCCCCCCAGAAAGGGAAAGGTACTCTGGCCTAAGGATCGGTGAATTTAGTCCCCCCTTCCCCTCTCCGCTAACCAGCTGTGCTTATGTATGTGTGTAGGCGGTCAGAAAAAATCGAATTTGCTGCCTAGTGAGAGCAAATTATCCGGATAATTGGCTCAAATTTCTCTCCTCTGTGGTTGGAGTAGATGCAGCCTTTGGACAAGAAGCTAAACATCGCAACTCAGGAGAGGGGTGAACACCTTATTCCATCCCCCACCCCGCAGACCTTGAGGGCGGGGAGTCATGCAAGGAGGCGGGAACCTGTCTTTGACCTCACTGACCGGTGTGGAAAGCGGTGTGGAAAGCCGAACAGAAGGACAAAAGTGGGAAAGAAGTGGAAACCCGCCCTGGGCGAAGGCCTCAGCGAAGGCGAGCACTACCGGCCTTGGGATGGGTTCTCTCGGATAGCAGGCACCCAACTCATCTTCATGGGCTATGGGTGAGTGCCTGGGAGACCGCTGCATCCTCCTTTTTGCCATCCGTGTGGTCGCCAAATTGGAGCCGTTTCTGTGCTTGTAGAAGACATAACTTGCTTTGGATGGGGTCTACAACACCCATGCACACACTGCAGATCTTGAGCAGGAAACAGTTTCCACCTTACCCTTGTAAGGAATCATCCTGGTTCTTGCCTAGCCAGTCGCCTGAAGGCTGGGCTTCTAGAGAGCATCCTTTCGGCTTGGACCATTGGACCTCTCAGTCTAAACTGAGGGCAAGGGGGAGAACCAGAACTAGGTACATAATTCCCCAACTCTGAACTAATTCAGTGCCATTAAATGCTGGGGGAAGGATGGGTGTCTAGATTGAGTGGACACAGAATCGGACTCATGGGTTAGTCAACCTGGCTATAGATAACACGTTCAGATATGCTCAAGTGAGAAGTCACACAGGCAGATCTGCTGGACATGCACTTACAGAACTCCTTTGATAGACAGGTACATACACATAGGTTAAAATGAAATGGACACTCATTAGTCCCAGGCGAGATAGCTGGGCCTTCCCACTCACCCAGGGTTGCTCTCCTACACTTTCACTCAAACAGCTGTGATCCCTATTCTTGCCGCCATCCCCGGGCCTCACTCTTGGTGTCGGGTCCAGGCTGAGGCAGCCTCCAACTCCCCCGTTCCCATTCCCCGCCCCCCTTCAGCCCCTTCCTCACGGACCGCTCGGCCGCCCCGCGGTGCCCATGTAAATGACAGCAATAAATATCTAATCAAGGCCCCGGGCGACGCCACCGCCGCCGCCAAAGCCCATTACCGAACCGACGTGCGAGGTAGGGAGGGGTGCTGGGGGGTGAATTTCGGGCGGGTCTGTTCTGGCCTGAACATTCATTCTGCGCTGAGTACCCCTCATCTCTGACCTTGAGCAAATCTCAATTTCCCCTTCGTAAGAGCACCGAGTTCTCATATCTTGTCGGATCCTCTCTCCATCCAGCGGTCACTCCGTTTTGTAACCCGTTGGCTCTTGGGACAATTTATTTGACTTGGGCCCCATTGCTGCCTGAGGGGCGGATATCCCAGCTTATAGACCCCTAATCCTAGCTCTGGTGGGTCTGGCTCTAACTGTTATTTGGACTTTAGCCGGTTTCGGCCAGCAAAAGGAAAGATTCCCTTGAATTCTTGATCATCAGGCCTGAGCGCCTTCCCAGACAGGGTCACATCTTGCCGCCTTTCTACCGCCCACTGTAGGCGCTGCTTCAAAGTGTGCCCCAAGGTCACTAGAGCCCACAGGGTCTCGCGGCCCCTTCCAGGCTTCATGATTCCAGTCGCCAGTTTTTGTTTGCGTCCTCCCATATAGCTGAACGTCTGTCAAATCTGCGCGCAGTACTGGGACCTCTCTCTACCTCTGAACCACAGACTCTCCCTCCGAGGTCCTCCAGCCTCCTGAAGGCCCTGACTTAGGACTGGAGTGTCTTCTCTACAGGGACTGTACAGTCTCTGTTTTCCTCCACGTCCCTGCCAGGGTCTGGACCAGCCCAAAGCCGCCCAGCAGGTCCTGCCGGACTCCGACTCTGGACCAGGGGGAACCCTGTGGGCAGAGCTGCCTCCTGTGTGTCTGGGAGAGATAGAAAACACTCTGTGCTCAACCCTACCCCTGCTTGATCTCAGCTAAATCCAAGACTCTTGGTCTTCCTCCCTTGAGCTCTATCTAGCTGTCTCTACTGAAAAGGAAGCGGAGAATCAAGCAATAACCCCGACAGCTCTACTTCCAGAGCCTTCCGTCAGGGTCCTCTGCCTCACTTGTCACCAGCTCTCTTTCAAGAGCCAAGGGACCTGGTTCGAGAAAACAACATCTCTCCCATCTTCTTTCCTTTCTCTGACTACATTTTACTGCATTTCCCCCCCCCCTTTAAACTAACTTCAGCTACCTGATTTCTCTGCACCCCAACATTAAGGACATCAGAAAATCTGAGGACTGTAGGCGGAGGGCTCCCTCAGTCTCGGCCCATT